CCTACTTGCACAAAGCGAATTTTCCTCAAACTGTGACTGCTTAAATCGGTTGACATCGCGTTGTCATACGGGTCCAGTATTTCCGCTCCGCAAAGTGAGTGAGTGTGATTTTACGCCGCTTTTAGAAATTGTCCATCAATATTGCAGCGGGGGGACACCAGAAACGAGTTTCTTACATTGTAATTAATTGGTCTTAGGGACATTTACATTCTTTGAGCTCTGTAACCCCGTTAATCATAAGATCTCAGCAGGCAATTACCAACACTCCCGATGTATGGTAGAGGCCAAACAAATGTTGTTTGAGGACATCGGGTTCGTCAACATACAATGTACACAAAGGCCCCTCTTCTGTGATTGTCTCTATGCAACAAACAGGTGTTTGTCTCCTTAAGTACTGGTGATTGAACTCCGTGGTCGCTATGCGGTGATAGCCAGTGCACGGGGAATCAATAACCACGGTTGATAGGGTATCTATCTATAATTCAAAGGTATGGTGTTGATGAGCCTACCGGAACAATTGTGCAGCTGCCAATGATGTTTTTAAACTCAATACACGTGGATTGGACACTCGCGGGGGGTGAATAGTTTTCGTAAACCATTGTACTTACTCACTCTATTTTATGTAACAGTACATGAACGGTATTGGTTACATCAAACACTGTTTCCACATGTTTGTTACTACTTGATTAGATTCTCATGTGTAGAATGTATTCCTGTTTAACCTGCCATGGTAATAGTTCCTGATCACAAAATTAATTCTTCTAGATCGAAGTCTTGAATCAAGCTCCCTGTGAACATCCGGGTCCAAATTGATCCTCAGTTAGCCATGCCTAACGTAAGAATGGTCATCGTGGGTGATTTTCTTAAAGGATTTTCGTATCCTAACTGCTAATGATACTAAGAATGGTAATCACCGGATCTTTCGGTTCACGCTGAATTCACAGACCACCTTCATACTCCCGCTGTGTTACCCCATGGATCCTTGTATGGTGATCTACCTTCAGCTGTTGGGAGATCTATAGCCTGTTTTTATATTATGTATTGTCCAAAAAGTGCTATTAGTTTAACTCAACGTGTTAGTTTTAATTCTAGCTGTGATAGTCTAGGTAATGTGCTGTCATATTTGTTCTCGTCAAGATATAGCTGAAATATTGCCGATGTAACGTTAAATATTAACTCACTAACTCATTAACTGCCGATGTGTTCAGTATAAAACGTCAGTGCCAAAGAATTCCCAGTTTTGACTCTCCCCAGGAACTGATCCATTTGGTGTAAAGGGCAAAATAACCGTGAAAATTATACGAATGGACCATTAAAAAAAAATCAGTGATGACACCAGGTGTTCAGAAAAGAGTAAGCAGAAAAGAGTACTTATAGCCACACCCAAACAAACATGCCTTGAATTAATTTTCGTAAAATATGTGGTGAAATACTGTTAGGACATTCTTTGGATGTTTTAAAGTCCTTTTAGCATGTCATTTAGCCATTAGCGTCTTCTCTACCCAATCCAAGGAAGAGCACAAACTAGTTTCAAGTCATTTCATCGCCTTGATCGTGTCTCAGAACTTGTAGGACTAAACCAGTCACTATCACATGATCCTTCTCACTCACTCACTCACTCACTCACTCACTCACTCTCAGCAACAGCAACACACCCTTACTTCATCACGGCGACGACCCAGTGGCAGGCGCTACAATCCGATGCGTGTTTTCAAAGCTACAATGGCCTTGTGTTGGACCATTAAGCACGAAGCAGTAAATCAATAGTCTCCCGAGGAAGACTGTGGCATTTTCTTGTCTAGGTCTCCATTTGATGAAAGCAACCCTAAGGAATCATGACATTTGTATGGTCCGACCTCTGACTCTGTTATGTCTCGTGCAATATTTAATGATGACACTTGTATGGTCCGATCTCTGACTCTGGTATGCCGCGTGCAATATTTATTGTTTACGTCTTTAGTTATTCTACAATGGTGCACAATTGATATAGTTTTTCGTTCAGTCTTCCATGAGTAAGTGTTTAACTTCACATCGGTAATATGCCCGAAATATTGCGACTTCGGTCTGAAGAATTGAAATTTTGTGATTTCAAATTGTAAACATTCCGTGACATTCATTGGTAAATAGTACATGGAATGGTCCTATCGGTTTGTGCTGCGACAACGCAGTTGCTTTTATTTTGTGAATATTTATTTCCATCGTACTCACTGAAAACGCCATGTTACGCCGCTCTTTTACGCCGCTTTTAGCAATATTCCAGCAATATCGCGGCGGGGGACACCAGAGATGGGCTTTACACATTGTACCTTATGGAGAATCGAACCCAGGTTATCGGCGTGACGAGCGAACGCTTTAACCACTAGGCTCATTCACCGCCATACTAGCAGTACAGATTTACTTGTACCCTTTGAGGCGTACCTGGGCATATGCCATCGTCATGAAACATATGCTGCAATTCCTTGACTGATTGGAATAATTGGGAGTACGTTTAGATCATCCGTATCAGTAGTAAATTCTTGACAAGGTGTTTTCTAACATTACATGATAACTGTTGTAATTGTATGTCGGGACACTAGTCCATAGGGAATATTTATAAATCGAATAAAATGCTTTGTCTCTATTATGGCTTCATTGCCATTACTCCTGTAAATAGAAGTCAATTTGAAATAGTCTCGTTTTTGTCGCGTTGCCTGCGAACTTGATATCAAGTTTATTATTATCGCCTCGTACAACTTGACAGTCGCACCAACGAAACAGAGCATTGGCGTATGTCGCGTAATGGTAAGAAGCGAAACGTTCATTGTAATTAATGTCTGAAAAACCCAAAAACCCATAGTGGATAAGACTGTTATTCAGTTATCTATTGTTCATGTTTTGTTGGGTTTTTTTTTCATTTTTCATTGCCGAACGCCGCAATCAGCAACATTCCAGCTATATTACTGCTGATGGTATTCATTACCAGATCAGTCTTTAATCGGAACATATTCACAGAAACACAGGAAAATATCTTTCATTCCAAAGCATTCCAACCCATACCCTGAAATTACGTTTATATAATATTCCCAAATTGTGGTCATGTATAAATTACATCATATTTTTTTTCAAGAGACGACATTTTGAAACGATCCAACGTAATCCAGCCTTATTGATTAATTGATTAGCTGGTTGGTTAGTTGGCAGGTTGGTTGGTTGGTTGATTGATTGGAGAGAGGTCATACACAGCCTATGAAAGAAAATCTTCCTCAGGAAAACATCGAAAAAAGGTTGAAAGACTGTTAATAAAAATGCAAGGTAGCTGCTCTTTTTTGCTGATATTCTCTTATACCTCACCCTAAGATACTCCTGAGAGGGGACAATACATTTTGGCAGTTTTTGAACAAACAGCCCCACCATGTTGTCACACTGGAATGGTAATGCTTGAATACTGGAACCATGTTAAGCTCCGGCGATCAATCGCCACGTGTACACTGCCGGTATATGCCTAGAAACAGGGCACCGTGTTTGCCCATTGCAAATACACTCTGATGGGATGCTTCGATTTTTCTACCCCCCTAATATTCACCGGCAATGTGCATCCCCTTAAATGTCTAGATATGAAACTACGCCGTGTTGACTATGATGTCATGGTACACAAGATGGAGCGGTTTTATTTGTATAGAGTAAAAAGTAAATAAGGTCCCAAATCTTTTCAAGAAAGCTTAGCAAAACACAAACCAACTTTAAAAAAGTCACACAAATGAATACATTATGTTTCAAGAGGCTTGAGGCATTGTGAACACAAGGAACGGGGGAAATATGTATCGGGATTTTACAAAGTTTGAATTTATTTTGAATTTTAAACTGCTCCCAGATGAGTTCTTTCATGAGTTTGACGGGAAATGCTGCAACCGACACAGTAAAGACCAGCTGCTTGAAAGAGCAGACATCCTAAGCTGACATAGATCAACGTGTACATGTTTGCTAAATAGTCTGATCCGGAATTAATCGTTACAGCTCGAAATGTTTATTCGCAGGACGGAGAAGTTGTCCTCCAAATTATGTTATTTGCAACAGTAATGGATACTGTAAGATATGACGTCTGTTAAAAACCGAGGCCGTTCAGGAAGAAAGCATGGCACGCTTGGTTTTGAATCGAATGACGCATGCTAACTTTTTGTGATTGAATTGATGAAATTTAAGAGCGCCAGACAAGAAAGAAGCATCTTGATCAGGCAAGAGACGAAACATGAGAAATACTTACATTTTGCATTGGCAGAGAGAGAGAGAGAGAGAGAGAGAGAGAGAGAGAGAGAGAGAGAGAGAGAGAGAGAGAGAGAGAGAGAGAGAGAGAGAGAGAGAGAGAGAGAGAGAGAGAGAGAGAGAGAGAGAGAGAGAGAGAATAAAGAAGGTACTGTAATGAATTAAAAAAGGGGTTGGGGGAGAGACCCATACCACAAAGGAGAAGAACTAATTTTAAAAAGGGGTTGGATTCACAATGAAAGGGCAGAGAGAGAGAGTACAATGGTTTACGAAAACTATTAACCGCCCGCGAGTGTCCACAATCCACGTGTATACACTTGTTGCAACAAAATATTACGTCTGCCGTTAAAGTTCACCCTCTTAATCTAAGTGAAGTCTGGTTATGATCCTCAGCATGAACAAACCCAACAAATCACACCCCCGTTGAAACACCGCACGATAACATCCAAATCTCCATCACGCTGACAATCCTTAATCCATCCGCGCGACAAGAACGATCCCCTCGAACTAAACTCGAGAAACTCCAATCGATACATATTCCATATAAGGAGGACAACCCCCAGTCCGACCCTGACGTTTAAAGTTCATACCTGTCGGAACAGAAAACGTGTAACAGTTTATCGGGAGTAAACTGACACCAGCTGTATGTTCGTGATGCGAGGCCACGGCTCTTGTCGGCTCAATATCGATCCTCCAACGCTGATCTAACGGTAGAAAAGCGAGGCCGCGAATCGTCGCTGCCAGAACGCTTCTGACTCGTGTACTGTTCGCATCTACAGCTGTGGTATGTGCTCTGTCTGCGAGTGCAACTATCTGTGACTCTGAACCATTCCGGGTGCCGGACGTCTTATACCCCAGCTGTTTCGTCTACCTATACAGGTGGGTGATGTTATATTTCTAAATCTACCTGTCCAAGTTACCCGTTTGTTATGTGTCTACGATTTGTTAACTGTTCAAGGTCTTTTGAAAATTCATAACTTCATGTAAGTTAACATAAAACGTGAACACGGGAAAATAACCAGGTTTAGCGTATAAGCAATGCTGAAGTTTTATATTTATTTGTGTTAGTTAGTATGATTAGGGATTCGATAGATGTGACAGAAAATTTCATTTCGTTGGACATTTAGAAACATTCGTGTTTGAAAAGGTTCAAGGACATTTGTAATTTTCACATCCTTAATAGAACTTTGATCCTTCATCAATGCCTTCCGTTCACGTTTTGTTTGTGTGTAGAACAAAACAAATTTGTAACGTATAATGGAAACATTATTATTCAAAATTAGTTTAATTTAATTTAACCTTCAAATGTAAAGTGAAGATTTCCGTATATTTCTTTCGCAAACACCAGATATGACAGGCGCACACCATTTTGAACAATAGTGATGAGCTATGGACTTTACTAAATTAATTGTTTCCAAAGATTCTGAAGATTTTGTTGTTATGAGTCACTGAAATCAGATTTCAGCTTGACATAACTTTAGCAAAATGCATCGACTGCATGTAACAAAAGAGAAGTGTACCATAGGCTTTAACAGTATCTTGAAGGGTTCTCGATGCCTCTGTAAAGATCTGATGTTACCTGAAGGTTATATAGCCTTTGCATCTCGTGAGGACGTCAACTGCGGTAAAACAAAATTAACATGTCTACGTCAACGCGCTTTTTACAGATAGTCACCCACACACAATGCTTATATGTCACCTATGGCATTTCTACATTACACAGACTTCTGACTTTCAATGTGACGGTATTGAAAGGGCGGTGTGATTTAGAAACTAATAACAAGAACGGCCCTGATTGTCGCGAGAAAATCATTCCAAATTTATATTTCGGGAATAGATTATAGGAACTGCAGTCATTCAATATAGCGTTACTCTTATTCAGATTGAAAGATTCAATGGGCTTTTTTCTTTTCGTGCCAGAGAGTCGATGGGGCTTTTGTGGTTGCATTATCGATAAAGCGTTTCTGCGGACTTCCATAATTTTAGCATTATTGACCAAACACAAGTTGATTGAATATTTTGATCGTTATGCAATTATGGACGCTCTGCAATCTGAATACTGAACTTTAATCGAGAAAATGCAATTTTCCAGGCTTAAACCTTCAAAGTCCACGAACATTTGTGTGAGCTATCCAATTAACATAGATATTCTATAGGGACTATTTACGTGTATTCATTATTAACAACTCGCTTTCATAAAATTTATGTTGTTAGTTACCTGTTCTGAATATGCAATTGAAATTAGGTTCTGAAAATATATAAGTTTCATGAATGATGTATAAATGTTTCCTGCCAAAGCATAAACATGTTTATGATGGACAAACAAAATATTATTTCAAATTAGTGCAGTTGTTTCACAAACGATCAATTTCCATGAAATCAATGAAAGATCCGATAATATGTTGTTGTTTAAGCAATATGAAAACATTTCTGTCACGATGAATTACATCCGAACAAAAATATCTGGAATTGCAAATTGGTTCAATTTGTAAAACAGTATTGCATACGATGTTGTTGTTATTCTTGCCAAACTGGTTGCGTTACCAACGCTCTTTCCTTGGAATTCAAAATCAGTTGGACTGAATTACCAACTACAGTTGCACCAAATGCTATAGGTTAAGCGACAAATGCTGTAAGTCATGGATCTTGGGTTAAATTGTGATTAAAAGACACCACTTAATCATATACAACGGTCGAACAAATCCGCCTAAGGTAAAGAAGTAGCTCACTCCGACCTATAAGCCGATTTAGATACTCGCCAGAGGACGACGTTACCCTACTTAGGACGCTCATGCGTATTGGTCTTCTGAACTGGGCAGTAAACAAGCTATTATAATTTAGGTCGATCCTTATCCTAACAAATTGTATAAATCATACAGAAACGTATGGTTCAGACAATGTAGGAATTGAAATCAGGTTGGGTGGCCTTACATAACGAAGGTTCCATTCAATCCCCCAAAGTTGTACGTGTAAAGTCAATGTGGTTGTGTCTGATATTCAAGGGATATTGCTCAAAGCGGCATAAAAGCTCAGTCAGTCAAGAATTAACCCCGCAGCAAGGTATGAGTCTACAGTAATATATGTTCAAACCAGTACAAGGACATGGCCTGCTTCTAGAGCAACGGTTGCCAGGGAGGTTTAATGCGTGGGTTGCTTGAAAGCTGACGTAGGTTTTTACGAAACCATTGAGAAAATTTCAGTGGCTTTTGTTGAGCCCTTTAACATGGTTTGAGGAAGATAACCATTATTTCACCAAAATTAACAAGAGTATTGATTCACGAGAAGCAAGATGATACATATTAACAGATGAAGAAGACTGTAATTTTACAATCCTTCCCATTCCCAGTATAAGTGATGCTAAAATGATAGATCAATACGCTACAACTGAATAGTCTATATCATGTTTACCTCGTTTTCTTTTTATGGATTTAAGCCTCTGACAAAACTGAAAATCCTAAGTGATAAATGTTATGCAAGTTACAGTGAGGTTGACTTAGTAAATGGGCCAGCCAGAATAGACAATGTTAAATGAGTGTGCAAATAATTAATCGGTTGCTAATGCTCAAGTCTTCAATATTTTCTAAAAGTTGCAATGTCTTTCGAGGACCGGAATCTTTTAGACTATAGTGGTCGGTGGTTGCCAAGCTGGATTTGTGAATGACCAGTAGAACGTTAACACGAATCGATATGGACATTGTGATAAGAAACGGCCTTCTGTTTCATTCGTTTTATGCAGTGCATAGTAAGCTGTTATGTCTTGAATTCTCTCTCGGAAACCAATGCCAGAAATAAGAGTGATGCATGCTAAAGTGAGCTTAATTATCAACCGTGATAAATGTAATCGATTTAGCTTAATATATTCCATTATGCACCTGAATCTATTGATCTTAAGCTTGCGTGTACGACCTGACATCTCTATATAATCTGGCATACCAGAGGCTACATTCTCGCTCCCAATGGTCTTATTTCTTGAGCGCTATTTAGCAGCATCTCATAGTTAAACGTTTAGAGAAGCGGGTTGCTAGGATAGTTCTAGGCATTTAGTGAGGGATGAGTTGTCTGAGCTTTGCTCTGGAATCACCCGACACACTACAGTTTCTCTTGTGAGTCATCTGCTGTTTCTGTCTTATTACCAGCTGAGGGACACTCAGGTTCAGTGCTGGAGTCTTTGAATTCGTTGTTCTTGATTTCATATACATTTCAGATACGTCGCAATACGTTTCATACCGACCGTGTTAATTTCATCCAATGTTGATTACATGGTGTATGGAAATTATCTGCGTGTAATTGATCGATGGGGCAATTGTGCGTCATTGCTTTGCATTTGCTCGGCACTTGTAAGACCAGAAAGGATCGATTCCTGAAATGGTTACAAGGTGTGAAACCGATATTGGTTCTAAAAATATGGCTTCTTAAGTATTGCTAAGTCTGAAATATCTCATCAATTCATATGGATATCAATACTAATGATTCTTTTTCTTATTTCAGCAATCATGTTCATGTCGCCAGCCCTCACAAGCGTGACACGGGACAACGAATCAGGATTCGGTTTGATGCACCTGAACGCATTAAACGGTTCATCGTCGGTCATATCAGAGTCCAGTTTCGGTCCACGCAACTACGTCAACGATGAACATATCTCGTCAACATTTTTCCAGAACTTTAATTATTATCCCAAAGACACTTTGAAATCCCCCGCTGTACGGAGGTCAGTGTCCCCACTATCGCCACAGAGACCAAAGGCAAGGTCGCCTTACTTGCCCAGGAAGGGTCCAAAGAACTGTCGAAATGAAACAGAAGCTTTTGGTGTGTGTGATGAGATGACTGAGAACAATCTTCTCAAGAACCATTTCACGAAGAACAAGGTGGAAAATAATGACGGTCGTTGCAAACAAGATCAGGAAGGGAAGACAAAGAGGAATTGCAAGTCAGTTGACATCAAAGTGACAAAAAGCCTCAATTTGGATTCCCTATCCTTGTACTCATCTCCGTGTAAAGAAAACAAGCTCTTGACGAAACGATCAAATAAGATTTACCGGTTTCAAGCAAAATGAACTCTTTAATACCTTCATACAATAATCATCACCATCATCGTCATCATCACACCATCATCGTCATCACCATCACCATCATCGTCATCATCACCACCATCACCATCATCGTCATCATCACCACCATCACCATCATCACCATCCTCATCATAATGACTCATAATAAGAGTTATCATATGATCATCATATGCCTGAAGGCAAACGAGGATCTGCTTCTGGAGACTTCGGATCCAAAGATCCAGCGCCGTTCACATTTTTCGTACAAAAGGACAAATACTGTGGTTCTGTTCAGACAATTGAACGTTCGATCAGGCAGTGGATCAGTATTGATCAATGAACATTGGACTCGTTACAAGAACCTGATGCAGTTCCGACCATGATACCACTTTTTGCACGTACCCGTATTCTTATTGGTACCTGTTAGTTCGGTAGTCAACGTAGTGATTATGAGAATAGTACGTTTTGTGAATTCTTGTTACTTGCCATCGTAATAAGAATTTTGTATTTCATGTAAGCTAACAATTTGTCTCAAATTTGATTTGAAATAATTTATTTTGTTTGGAGAAGTAACACATTGTTACGTCATTAAACGTTAGTTATTGTGAACTAATTTATTTAAAAGCGTTGTGAGACTATGTTCACGATGTACTATTTTCATGATATTTTCATTATATACCTAATTCCTAAGTTTCATTTGAATGGGGTTTCGTTGGTGAAACGCACATACTGTATATACTTTTATACGTACAAATGTAAATAAAGCTAAGGAGTTGTTTTTCTCCTTTGCATTTTTTTATAAGAATAAACCAATCAATGATATTCTTTGTTTTTTCTGTGATGATTTTCGGTGGCGATGTGTGGTCCTGTGCGTAGAGCTCAGGTCACGAATCAGTTGAGTTAAGCAACGTCGAGCTCGGAGAGTCCTTGGATGGGTGACTGTGTTTGGCAGCTTGACTCGTGAGAGTTTCTGACTTCAGTCCAGCCCCACAACGAAGCATATGGGATACATGTGGTCTCACCTTAGGCAAGTGAGTTTGTTCAAATTGCCTCTGTTCACCCAGCAGAAAATGGGTACCCGGTTGGATAAGACCATGTGACCTTCTAGCGCCTAACAGGCAGCTTGGGTTATCCGGGGTATTAATAATAATCAGATTCTGATTACAGCGTCCAGTGAGCAACTAGTCAGATGGATACTAGATACTAATTATTATTATAATGATTTTGCTGTTGAAGTGAAGTAGTAAAAGTAATTGTTATTTGTTATGATGTCTGGTACATCATATAAGGGTCAATATCCGACAGGCACGTGGCCGTGATTCAGCTACTGTTTACTGTGCCATGTGGTGAAGATACAAAAAAATAGGAATTGAGCGAAAGTGGACTTTAGGCGAACTATAAATGAAGCGGAAACGGATGGTTAATTATAAAAGTGATATTAAAACATTTTTTTAGCATTATTTATGGATTAAACTCAATGTGTACAGCAACAGATGGTTCGGGTGATTATAGTAGGAAAATTACATTTACTCTGCATGCAGTTAAGGTCATCAGTACACGTTTTGTCTTATTCAAGGGGGCGGGTTCGATTCCCCACATGGGTACAATGTGTGAAGCCAATTTCTGGTGTTCACCACCATGATATTGCTGGAATATTGCTGAAAGCGACGTAAAAGTAAACCCACTCTCTCTTATTCAAGTACACATGACAATATTAATCTACATTACGACAACAGCAAAGCAGATAGTACTTTAGGATGACGTCATCAGCAATAGTTCCCTGTCAACACATGCTTTTTACAGAACTGGACACATGTACTGAAGCAACGACCGTATTACTACTCGTTGTGGTTGCGATCACAATAGCTTGATAGATCTAACATGTGTATTTATAGATAGTTTTTTCTCTGCTATTTGTTATCAATAGGAACTGTTGTGTAAGATAGCATATGTCAGTAATTCAGCAATAATATATTTTATGCCATTTTAGGAAACCCTAAAATAACATGTTTTGACATGCACATGATATTTAAGATGACACTTTCTCAGTTACATACAGATGCAAGTCGTATTTTTTCATCAGTCACTGCACTTAGAGAGATGCAAACTTGTTGACGAGACCACGAACTTGTCAGAAGAAACAGGATGTGTGGTGAGACCGTATCTCACGTTACGAGAATTGAACACAAAAGCTAAGACGGTATTGACTAGGTTAAACCAAATGGTGGCAAGGTGAGACACACTGACCTCGTACCATAACGTGGTGTTAAGTGACACATCTTGTCTTGTGGGAAAAGCGGATGGGATCAATGGCCGAGTCTTCGATTCCCAAGTCTGGAATAATAATAAAGGCTATATACAAAGCACTTGTTTCCACGCATTTGTGCTCAAGGCGCTAACTCATCTTTACCCCAGATAGGCCAAACTGCTTGTGAGGCGCTAGAAGGTTAACATTCATTTGACTTATCCAACCAGTTACCCATTCGCTGCTGGGTGAACTGGGGCAATTTATGAAGAAACTCACTTGCCTTGATTGAGACCACATGTGTCACATTTGTTTATGTCTTGAATCATATTCTTTATGAAGAAGTGGTTGCGAAAATATGAGGAACATCAATTTATCAAAACTTTACATCAGAGAGATAACCGTTTTAAAACGGGTGGTGGGAGTCCTCGACGAATTTGTCTGAATTAAGATATTTCCGAATGTTTGCTTGTTTTTTAACGCCGCACTCAGAGATTTACCAGAAGACGGTAGTGTGTAAATAAGTCTGGACCAAGCAATCGAGTGACTGAGACCTTGAACATCGATCTGCGCAATTGGGATACGATAACAAGTGTCAACCAAGTGAGGGAGCCTGACAACCCGATCCCGTTAGTCGCCTGTTACTACAATCATATTTTCCTGAAGACTAATTCTAACCCGGATCTTCGAATGTGCACGCCAAACCCGGTAGTTATATTGTGAAGGTGCTCTTTAGTATAGTTCTTCACTACCGGGGTCCGTACTGATGAAGCACTTTTGCAACCAAACTCCGAAGGCTACAAATATTCGAGCGTCGGCTGGTGTGTCTGAAGACTATAATGCAATTTCTAAATTGTTTCTTGTCATCAGTTATTGAATTATACTTTGTACATTGTATGAATATAATTTAAAATAATTTGGATTGACATACAGAAAGCTACTGGATCCAAGACCCATGTATCTCACGAATGAGTGAGTGAGTTTAGTTTTACGCCGCACTCAGCAATATTCCAGCTATATGGCGGCGGTCCGTAAATAATCGAGTCTGCACAAGACGATCCAGTGATCATCAGCATGAGCATCGATATGCGCAATTGGGAACCTATGACATTTGTCAACCAGGTCAGCGAGCCTGACCACCCGGACCCATTTGTCGCCTCTTACGACAAGCATGGGTTACTGAAGATCAATATTCTAACCCGGATCTTCACGGGTGTATCTTACGAACACCTTGGGATAATCATCACTGATTCTCAGTGTTTCATTTATATATCAAATGTTATTTTCAAAGCTATATTTGTCTTTTACAACCAAAAGAATCGTTTTCGATAATCGAAACCTTTACTATCTGACAATGACGTATTGCAGTTTAAGGTATAATAATAATGATTATAATTTTAATCATCACTAACCCTTAAAATACGGAAATGAAAGCTTGTACGAATTCCATTCCCAGGAGAACTTAAGACATACAACAGTTTAACTGATTAACGTATTTGTCACGTTGTCTTGTATTTCGTAAAAATCTTTAAACGCTATCACATGAAGTCCACTAAGTTATACAGATGAACCGTTCCGTTACACACAAAGCCGATGTTACAAAGAAAGGCGTTCACGCTGGAGGGTAATATGTGCGTAAGACCTACTTAAATAGAACTTATTCTTGTACGCGTAACTGATGCAGACCCAAACTGGCTTCATGGGGTTCGAATTCCTTTAAAACGATAAGATAAGCTTAACGCATGTACCATTCCGTTTCACACATAGACGACGTTGCAAAGAGAGGCGTCCAAGCTAGAGGGTAATAGGTACGTAAAGCCTACTTATATAGACTTATATAGACTGATGCGGACCATATTTGGCATCGCTTTCGTGAAGTGTTGTGATACATGTTTGAAACGTCTTTTAAAAAGATATAGTGTACATTATTTGTTGTTCACGGGTCACGAGGGGGACATGGGTTGATGTACCCTCGATGTGTATGTTCCCTATGCCCGAAGGACGAGGGGAACATAAACAAACATAGACGGTGCATCAACCCATGAGCCCCGAGGCACCAGTGAACAACGTATGTGTCTTATCGAACACCTCAATGCTAATTTTGAATTGTTTAAAGCACGGGTATTGGATCATAGTAAGGAGTGCCGGAGTTAGGCAACAGCCCAAACACTACTAACACGAAGTACCAAACGAATTCCCACAGTTTCCAGCAAGTAACATGGAATATGTTACTGGCTTGTAAGCGGAATTGATTGGCTCAGCCAATCAGAAAACGACATTTATGTGTGAGGTAAGATAAGTAGATATAAGACAAATTTTCACTTATGGGTCAGTTACTTCATACAGTGTCAATATCTTGAAATATTGCTCCGACAGTATTTTAATAACATTATATAGAAATGGCCTTAACGTGGGAGAAAGCATAGGGTTATAGTTTCTATTCCTGGAGCCCCCGGCTGCTGGTAACTTTAGATGATAATGGCAAACATACGTGGGCATCGGAAATGTATAATTGTCTTGTGGTTTTCCGTATATTGGGATTGGCCAAGACATAGGGTATAAGTTTTCATTTGCATCTATCTTTAAACAAAGACTTCGTTCCCTGATCAGAAAGCATTAGATACCATTTCTTCAACTTGAAATTAATCCCCCCACCCCACCCCACAAAGTATTTAGAATCTCTCAACATTTTTATAACATAGTAGGAAGAATAAAGACGTTGATTATCCAAATATTGGATATTGGTCAATTGAAGAGGTTTCATGGCATGTTTGTCTTTTCTTCAAAGGGGATGAGCTATTGATCACATTTAGACTGTACCCACGTAAATCAACAACTCATCTACGATTAACTTTATTCAAATCATTTAAATATATGTCAGCAGCTGCTGTTCTTATCAAACACGTTTTTCTTAAGATTTCTAAGAGTTGTTAATTTAGCAAATGTTTTGCCTGTCATATTTGCACTCTGAGTTGAAGGGACACTAAAACTAACTAAAGAATGAATACGGAGTGTTTTCGAGACAACAGTAAGTTCGACACAACGGTATTTAACCGTATGTAACTAAACCAAGTGACGTTTATTGAGATTGCGTCTTCAAGGAACAATACTTACTTAAGAAGTTGTTCAACCTTCACATTTTCCTCGTTCCCACGAAATACTTCCACCAAACTCATTAACCCTGCACAGCCAAGAGTAGATACACAACAAACAATGGAATAGAATACTAAATGACCGTCTCACAACATCTGACGAACCCAATACCTTAGAGAAACCCGTATACTAACTGCTGAACAACGAGCAGCTTCAATCTATATTTCTGAACCAAGTAGCTTCACCTGCATGTCTCGTGTTTGAACAACACTACACGCGTTCTGAATATAGCCACGATCTCTTGGGTCTGTGATTCTCAAACACATGGAGAGAAGTACCAGGTAAACCGTAATGGATGCCTATATAGTGTGTTTGCAGATTGACTTGCACTGACAATAATGACGTACATTGTCTATGTATACTGTCCCACAGTGTTTATGTATACTGTCCCACAGTGTCTATGTATACAGAATTACAGAGTTTA